TTTAGGTCATTTTTTATTATCCAAAAAACGCTCCGAGCGCCTGTGGATGTTAACCCCAAGACGTACAGTTATGATTCGAACCGTGAATCCATGGCTTCGTAAAACTACTTTTGATGCGTTGGATACTTGCCTTTTAACATTACTTCTATCTCAGGACTGTTGTTGAAGGGACTGACCAAACTATAGAGGGACTGTGGACTGACCCAGCACATTCGCTTTCCAAACAACCATTTTGAATACAGATAGAGGCTCTAACAGACGATTGGTGTTATCGCCCTCACGCGGTGAGAAAGCGAGTTTCGCTCGTTGATATAATCACACACACATAGTACATGTACTAAAGTTAATATGACAAAAAGGTAAAAACAAAAACCAAGCAGAATGACAAGTTCCTTTAGGTATGCCTAAGAAATTAACAATTTCTAAATTATACGGAAATCAGGAATCGCATCGCACACTATAATTAGATTTCGGGCAAAAACTTGAATTTCGGACAAATATTTGTTAGTTTACCTTAAATATTTTTTTTGCCCAAGCGATTTTCATGACGATTTTTAGTGTCATGGGCAACGTGATTGTTACGATTAAATTAAATTAAATAATAACATCATTAACAAACACAAACGCAACTATCACGTTATCATATATTTATTTGTTTAAATAAAAACGTAATATGGACAAAACAATGTTTTTATTGTTGTTTGATATATCTTTCAAAATCGAATACAATGTATACATATTTGGCAAACGGTATAAAATAAAATATAAATAAAATAAGTCTCTAAAGCACAGTTCCAATTTAAACCTATTATCGTTTTGTAAAAAGTTAAATATAGTGCATAATATGGAGATCCCGTCATTACTTTTTTTTTCACCATGTTTCTTTTTGATTATTCATGTACAGCCTTGCTAAATCTTGCAAAGCATTCAAAATAGAGAATGTTTGTAATTGTTTTCTATATTTTAAAATCGTCTTTTGAGTATGTTCTACTATTCATAGTGCTGTGAAATTTTAAGTCTATAGCCAATAAAAAGCAAAAAAAAAAAAAGAAAATTCACTCCCAAGTTCCCTCCAACCTGCATCTGTACCTTAATAAATATATGAACTTGCATTCATCATTAAGTTTTTCAAACTTAATATATAGAGGGCGCAACAGAATAGACCAGTCGTGGAAATTGCTATCGACGTAACAAACTCGTTCTCACCTTCTTTAGCAATACTTATAAATTTCAATGGCAGCTGAATCCAACCAGCCAATCAACGAGCACAGCGCACAACGACATTTGAAAATGTTCCAATGTCATTCAATTAATAAATATCAATGGTAGAACATGACGTCAAAGCGTCGTTGTTGGCGCCCATTCAAGGAATACAGTATTTACTAGTTTCATCAAAGTTTGATGAGTTGTAAGTGGTACTCAAGTTATCTGTGGAGCACCTAGAAATTGGTTAATTTATGCAAATTAGGTCATTAGTAAGCACAAAATTTAACATATGTACGATACCCAGTTTTCTTGAATCTGATGATTGATTGAGATATTGATGGAAAAATTAAATATTGACTAATTAATATGCATATTAAGGTCAGGTCTGCCCATTATCCAAGAGCATCTATGTATCAAGTTATATTAAAATCTATTGAATAGTATGAGAAAAAGTTAATAGATTGGTTAATTAATATACTAAATAGGTAATTAATATGGACAGATTTCAACCAAAAACTAATCAGGTCTGAGCATTATCCCAGAGCATCCAAGTACCTAGTTTCATTGAAATCTGTTTAATAGTAGACGAGAAACAAGTGAAAATGCTTACAATCAGCTAATCAATATGCAAATTAGGTAATTAATATTCATGGTTTTCAACCTAAAACTAATCAGGGTTGAGCATTATCCCATAGCACCTATGTACAAAGTTTATTGATTATTGGTTCTTGAGATATCAGTGGAACAGACAAATGCAGATATACAGACAGACGCACTAACCGCAAAAACTTTCATTGTGTTCTTCGCACACGGAGGTGAACAATATGCAAATCAGCTGCTAATATGTATGCATATGGAACCAAAAACTGCACATCATTCAAAGCTAAATATGCACCACATCTAGTTCCTATGCAAATAACTCACTCGTTAAAATCAAAATTAATTTAATAGCCCACAAAAGTAAAGGTGATACTATGACATCCTGTCAATAATATATTTTTTAATATGTTCACCACTGAGGACATATCAATATGAGAAGACATTTAATACTTATGTTGTAGAACGGTCTGGCAACGTATTCCCAATCATAGAATGTCGTTTCTGTGACAAGTGGCACTTAACCTTTTCACCCCCAGTGTTCTTTTTATCACAAATTCATAAAATAGTCCTATTTAAAGTCTACACTTTCCTTCAGAAGATTGAGACAAAAATAGCCACATATTGAGTAAAAACTGAAAATTGACTAAAATATTGTCTGTTGGCTCCAAAATTAAGGTTCATTTCCAGAAATATTGAAGAATATAAGAAAAAAGTGCAAAAAAAGTTTGGGGTAAAAAAATTAAGGTAATTTGCTACCATTAAAAAAATACTTGAAATCATATATAATAAAAAATATATAATCATCGAACTTAGTTTCCACAAAACGCAAGAAAAACGCAAAAAATGGCAGTAATATTCCATCGTATCTTAAAATTTTGTTCAGTGACCTATGCGAAAAAAATATGGTGTGTTGTACAAGGGCGATATATAGCTGTCAAAAAAATTGTGAATGCTAGTATAAGTTATCCATGGAATAATAAGTTTACATGGAATCCTATGGAAAATGTTCCAAAATGGCAGATGTTGGGGTTATTTTGCCAGGTTTTCTTGAAAACGTATCTTTCTTTCTCCGTAAAAACTTAGTGATCAATTTTTACTGTTAGTGAACAACCTTAAGTCAGCACTTGCACGACAGTGAAATTAACAATTGCTTTGCATACAAAATATGAAACAAAACCATACTCCATTAAAATTGCTCAATTCTTCTTAATGGATTAGAGAGAAATGATAAACTAATTACAATGATTGGCTACCACCTATACTAAGACCAGACCAATCAGAGAACAGCTTCTTGTTTGTTGACAGGTGTTTTTATTCAATGTATCAAAGCCTACTTTCTATACATGCAATACTTTATTGATATCTACTGTAGAATGTCTTAAAAAATGTTGACGATGAAGCTGCAACATTTGGTCGTAATAACATACTTTTGTTAATGAAATATCACAGTAATTTAATAAGTGATGTTCCGTTCAACTGCGAAATCTCACAAGTTGCATGAAAAACACGGGCCGAACGTCTGCCACAAAAATCAAACGATTTGAACTTGAATTTCTTTATTTCATAGCTCATATCGAAAGGCCTATCTTTGGCAGGGGAATATTCGTTTGAGTACCATTACTTCATCGAAATTGACCATCATTAAATGTGTATAACACATTATTAAGCATGGAAATATCCCCCAAAATACTTTGACGTGTGTCAAATTCCACGCGGCGTTTGTCGCCACTACGATGCTATGACCTTTGTTTGTCCTGTTTTTACATTCGATTTCATGCATAACATGTGATCACGCAGTGAACGGAAAATGGTCTATTAAGATGCTAGTGTCTAGGAACAAATCAACGATTTCCTGTTATGAAACAGTAATGCTATTCAAAATAAACTCTAAAATTTTCAACATCCCTGTTCTCACTACTCTTGATGCAAGTTACTGAAAGCTGATGGATCTTGTAAGCATCATTTTCCACAATTCTAGCTTTCAGTAACCTGTTTAAACTAACAGTCCAATATGTTGTGTGAAAAGAAACATCTTTTTTCCCCTCTCGAAATCCTCTACGTTTTGCTGTAAACTTCTTGAAATCAGCAATAGAAGTGAGAGAGTGGTTTGTCATGTGGTTCCTGAGATCACTTTGAATGAAAAAAGACTCCTCGCACAAATGACAATGAAATTGGTTTTCTTTATGAGTTTTCATGTGTCGTTTTAGATGACTTATCAGCCCAAAACTCTTCTCGCATTGTTGACAATGGAAAATTTTGTTATCGTGATGTGCTATCATGTGCTTTTTTAGATGAGAATAATCGAGGAATCTCTGCTCACACTGTGGGCAGTCATTTACCTTATATCCTATATGTGTCACCTCGTGCGTTTTTAAATCACTTGACTGAGAAAATCTCTCTGTGCAGTATTTACATTGGAAAGGTTTATCACTTGTATTTGTCACCATATCCTTTCTTAGAATCATCGATCGAGTCCTTTCATTGCGCAAAGGTGAATCTTGCGTCTGTGTTACCGTATTATTTTTTTCATGGCCTGAGTCAGGAAGACTCATTTTACGTTGCTGGTGACTTTTACTGCCTGTATGCGACAACATGTGGTAAGTCAAGAGACTTAGAAAATTGAAACTTTTCTCACAATATTTACAATGAAATGGTTTATTTGTGTGTGTTTCCATGTGTTGATGCAGGTGATGTAGGGCACTGAAACTCTTCTCACAATGCTGACAATGAAATGGTGTATATTCTTTATGAGATTGCATATGAAGCTGCAGCCGACTCGAACAAATGAAACTCTTCTCGCACAGTTGGCAATAGAAAGTCTTTTCTCCATGATGCGATATCATGTGCAGTTTCAGACGTTTTAAGCGTAGGAAATTTTTCTTACATGGTTGGCAATGAAAACGTTTTTTTTTATGCCATTTCATGTGAAACCTCAGGGCACTTGAACGAGTGAAACACTTCTCACATTTTTGACAATAATACTCATTACTTGATCTTGTTTTTGTGTGACAGGAAACATCTTGTTTTTTCGTCTTTCGAAATCCTGTATGTTCTGTTTTAAACTTCTCGACATCAGAAGTAGAAGTGAGAGTGTGGCTAGTCATAATAGGTTTGCTCTCCTGTTCATTTCTATTATGTGTTGCCAGGTGCTGCTTCAGATGACTTGAAGTGGGAAAACTCTTCTCACATTTTTGACAATGAAATTGGTTTATTTTATGAGTTTTCATATGCCGTTTTAGATGACTTATCAGCCCAAAACTCTTCTCGCAATGTTGACAATGGAAAATTTTGTTTTCGTGATGTGCTATCATGTGCTGTTTTAGATTAGAATATGAATTGATGAATCTCTGATCACACTGTGGGCAGTCGTATACCTTATATCCTACATGTGTCACCTCGTGCGTTTTTAAATCACTTGACTGAGAAAATCTCTCTGTGCAGTATTTACATTGGAAAGGTTTATCCCTTGTATTTGTCACCATATCTTTTCTAAGAATCATCGATCGAGTCCTTTCATTGGGCAAAGGTGAATCTTGTGTCTGTGTTATCGTATGATTTTTGTCATGACTTGTGTCAGCAAGTCTCATTTCATGTTGCTGGTGCCTTTCACTGCCTACATGTGACAACATGTGATTGTGCAAGAGACTTGGGAAATCAAAACTTTTCTCACATTGTTGGCAATGAAATGGTCTTTTTCCTGTATGAGTTTTCATGTGCTGTCTTAAAAGACGTGCCACACTAAAACTCTCCTCACATAGTTGGCAATGGAAAGTCCTTTCTCCATGGTATGTTGTCATGTGCAGTTTCAGATTTCTGGCACATCGAAAATTTTGTTTACATGCTTGGCAATGAAAACGTTTTTTTCCATGCATTTTCACGTGATACTTCAGCTGACTCGGATGGGTGAAACTCTTCTCACATTTTTGACAATCAAATAGGCGTGTTTTTTCATACAATCTCTGGAACAATTTTGGATTATTTTTGCATTTTTTCTCATATTTTCTATGTGTTAACATATGCAGCCTCAGTTGACTTGGAAAATTGAAACATCTCTCACATAGTTGGCAATGAAGTAAGTTGTTTACTCTATGAGTTCTCATGTGTTTTTTAAGATTACTTGAAGTACTGAAACTTTCCTGACATAGTTCACAAAAGAATGTCTGTTCTGGGTGTGTTATCATATGCTTCAACAACTGATTTGGAAAACTGAAACTTCTTTCACATTGCTGGCAATTGAATTTTTTTTTTCTGTGATGTGTCTGCATGTGCTGCTTTAGATTTTTCGAGCGAAAGAAACTCTCCTCACATTGTTCACAGTGAAATTGTGGATTACTATGTCCTTTCATGTGTTCATTCAACAGACTTAGTAAACTGAACCTGTTCTCACATTTTTGACATTGAAATGGTTTCTTTCCATGTGTTGTAATGTGCAACTTCAGCTGACTTAGGACACTAAAACTCTTCTCACACTGTTGACATCGCCATCTGTTTTTCATGTGAGTTTGGGCATGATTTTTCAGATCACTTGACTGACTGAAAGACTTCTCACATTGCTGGCAATGAAAGGGTGTACCTCCTGTATGAGTTTCATTTGCATCACGCGTAGTACCATGTTCAGCAATTAATGTTTTGTTATTTAACTGATTTGACCAACCAAATGTGTTATCCAAAGGAAAATCGGTGTTCTGCTCACCAGAACGGGAATCAGATTTGTCATGACACATCACTGGAGCTGGTGAGATTAAGATTGACTTGACAGATGTGTGACTGGTATCAGCAAAAAAATTAAATTTTGATGATTCAAAGCTATGCTGAGATTGATGGTCTTGTGATGTTGTAGCAAAGAATATAGCATTGGCATTGACATTGACAATAGAGGTACATGGATCATTGAGCACGCTGCCAGCATTTGCTAAATAATCTGTACTTTGATTTAAGTACTTTTCCAATGAATGCTGTCCCTTTGATACTCCGAGATGCTCATCAGATTCTTGTCTTTTGCATTGCAGTGTAGTCGATTCCTTCTCTATCTCAATCTTTGCTAGAGTGGCGGCTTGTTCTCGAATCATCTTGTCTATTTCCCATAATTCAAATGACCACTCCTCACAAATCTCACACTTCAACACATCAGCAGCACAGTTCCTGCCACAAGGAATGCAAATAGGATGACGATCATACTGCCGCATGGGAGTCTTGCAAATAGAACAAGAGTGTGAGCGATTTCTTGAATCTGGATTCTCCATAGCAAAATGAGATGGTTCTTCTGGAATGGTTCCTATTTGTGTTGCAATTCCTCAGATCTTGATGTTGTCTCTATGTATTTTGCCTTAAGTTGATACTCCCTGCACAGCACTGTAATTTCTGTAAAACCTATTTATTATATTAAGTCCTACAATGACACTGGTAAAAGGGAAGTCCAAATAACCTAAAATAAGACAAACAAGTCATAATCAATAAAATAGTTTCAATTCAGTGTGTATTAGAAACAATGAAAGATGTAAACAGATTATAATTAAATGTTGGGAGAGTGTTAAGCATGTTTAAAATCTATGTTACTGTTTCTTCAATGGGATTTTCACCAGCCAAGATTCATTAGGAATAATGTCCCCCTCCCACTAAATCAGTTCTGTTGCCATGGCAATGGTGGGCCAGAAATGTTTTCGGATTTTCCACCTAACTGGAGTGAAGGTGTGACCTGCCTGCCAAGTTTGAGCGAAATCGGCCAAGCCAAAAAAATCATAGAAGATTGATATGTGAAGACACTGCAAATTACACACACATATATGCACAAAAGTGATTTTAAGAATTTTAGCGGGGCACTGCCAAAAAAATATTTGCACACCTAAAATTTAGTGAAAATAAAATTCATTAATGTGAAAAAATTAGCACAAAACCAAGTGTAGATGACCCTGACCTGGGGCCTTGAAGATTTGGGAAAGGTGTTTTAGTCTCTACCATCCTCACTGTTTAGTAATCACCCATATAAAAGCAGTAAATGTTTAAACCTTAAAATGACCTTGACCTGAAATTGAGCAGTTCTGGAAAACATTGGCCCATCCAGTTCATTTTTCATGTGTACTTAAGAAAGCCTCGTTTCCAACAGTTGTCTACTGGAGTCCATGCCTGCCAAGTTTGTACATAGCCCATATATAACGTATGGTAAAGTGAAAAAATCCCAAAAAATCATAAATTCCACAAAAATGAAGATATCTTCACCAAATGAACAAACTCGAGAGAGAACTAGTCCATGTGTCCACATTATTAATTTATAAAGAAGTCATTATTATTTAATTAATTAATTAATAAAAAAGTCAAAAATTAACAATAAAAAATGCACTAAAAATAGACACTTGCATATGGTGCCATAAAAATAATAAGTCTGAGTGTAAATGGATTACAACATTCATGGCAAATTTCAAAGCAGTTGTGGAAAGAATCATTTTTAACCATAAAGTTACAAACATATTCCCAAAAAATAGAGGTTTACATGTGATGGCGTGAAATGAACAAATCTGACAGAGGACCATGCCAGGTAGGCGTGGTATGAATAACAAGGCAATCCTGCTTATGGTTTTGAAGAGGTCATTTGAATGAAAACAAATTGACGAACGGTGTCCAGACGACAACAGGTGTGGTCAACCCATGACCCGCTCGGTCATCTTGGATGACAGCAGAGCTAAAATTCTTAGACTTTTGAGAAATATTTATATATATATTTATATTTATATATATCGGTTACTAACGAACAACAGGGGCTTAACTATCTAATTGTGTTGTTTGTGGCTGCAGTCAAGCAGGAAATGTTGCTTTAAAAAATAATATTAGCTAATAAGTAGTTGAGTACCGATAGGATGCAGAGCAGATATACCAAATTTACCATTATTGTATTTAATATTTTATAACATTTCCTACTCAACTGCAGCAACGAACCATAGAATTTGATTTTCAAGCCCCTTGTGCCATAGATGAAAAGCGAAATATCAAGTCACAACTGCTGTCAAGTGGTCATTAGTATATTAGGGAGGGGGTGTATGGTTCCTTGGCAAAATAATATGCATTTTGCCATGTGTACCTCCAACCCCATATTTTCAATATGGACAGCCAAAATTTGAAAAAATATATCACTTTTCGGGCAATTTGGGGGAAAATTTATAGTTTTTCTTAGATCATTGTTATTTTTTTACATTTTACATGAACCGTTTTTTGCCAGAACTACCAATTTCTATGGTTTAAAGTGTTAAGGTTTTTAGGGATTTATGTTTATATTTTCAGTAAGTTAATCATTAAAAAATCATATGGGGGGGTGACTGAAAGATTTGTTGGGGAAAAATACAGAGAAGAAAAAAAATAGCATGCAAGGTATGGATAAAACACCATAAATACAATAAAATGCACTTATCACATCCCCACCCCCATGCTTTAAAAAAGTTAACCCCCAACTTCATCGCGGTCACTGCAGCGGAGGTCGGCGGTCGCAGGTCGAGTGCCTTAATATGCAAATGTATGCATAGATTCAATGACGCCGGCTGGCCGCGGTCATTCATGGTTTGGTATGGCTTGCACGGCCATTCACACTTATTGTCAAGATCTTGAATTTTAATGTTAATGCCTGCAACCCTGGCCTTTATGTGTAAGAGAGATTACCGGGGTGACTGGAGGTTTGTTAAAAAAATGCAAACTAGACACAAGGCACCACGAAACAAATAGATGTGTTGATCACCCTGGAGCCGAGACGAACCACTGATGACACGAAAAAATCGACAGAAACTGAAAATACTCAAAATATACAGCTATGATTTGAACCGTGAATTGCTGATCGATCCATGTGTTCGTAAAACTTGCGTGAATGCTTTCAGTACTTGCCTTTTAATGTATCCTGTGTTATTTGTTGAAAAAACTGAACTTTTCGTTTCTTGTCAAACGGCCATTTTGAATACAGAATTTTTAGTATTCTCGCCCTCATACGACGAGAAAACCAGTTTCGCTCGTTTAGTTTAATCCGCAACTTTTGTTTTACGAAAAACAATCTGGCAGAGCTCCAGAAGGAGTACCTACACTTTACGCAAATTTTTTTAAATTATGCTAATTTATTCATGACGTAGCAGTTTCTGTGCTCATGAATATTCATTAATTTGTGGGTCAATACATTTTAAAAGGGGCGATATATTATTTTTGGGGGAAGAGTTAGAAAGGGGGATCAGTAATCATTAGGGGGTCAATACAAAAGAAGGGACCCATTTGGAGAGCAGCCATGCTCTCCGTCTCTGTTGTTGCACGTGACCTACAGCTGTCAACTGTGTTCGTTCTTCGTCGACTTCAACTGGCTTCCATGTGAGGTAGTATTCTTGTGTCCTGTTTTTCTGACTTGAGTTTTTGAATTC